TGACCCACCACCAAAACGGACATGCTGAACGATTTTACAGGCACATTCTCCACAGCTCCTCCAGACCCTTTCACGTCTGTCACATGCTCAAGGTAAACCTGCTCTCATCTGTGAAAAGCACAGGGCGCCAGTGGTGGACCTGCCAATTCTGGTGTTCAATGGCAAATGCCAATCAAGCTTTATGGTGCCGGGCAGTGAGCACAGGGCTCACTAGAGGAAGTCAGGCCCTCAGGCCACCTTCATGAAGTCTGTTTCTGATTGTTTGCTCAGAGGCATTCAGACCAGTGGCCTGCTGGAGGTCATATTTTAGGGCTCTGGCAGTGCTCATCCTGTTCCTCCTTGCACAAAGGAGCAGATAACAGTTCTGCTGATGGATTAAGGACCTTCTACGGCCCTGTCCAGCTCTCCTAGAGTAACTGTCTGTCTCCTACAATCTCCTCCATGCTCTTGAGACTGTGCTGGTAGACACAGCAAACCTTCTGGCAATGACACGTATTGATGTGCCATCCTGGAGTAGTTGGACTGCCTGTGCAACCTCTGTAGGGTCCAGGTATCAATCATGCTACCAGAGGTGACACTGACCCTAGCCAAATGAAAACCTAGTGAAAAACAGTCAGAAAAGATGAGTAGGGAAAAATTGTCAGTGGTCTCCACCTGTAAAACCATTCCTGTTTTGGGGGTCGTCTCATTGTTGCCCATCTAGTGCACCTGTTGTTAATTAATACCAAAGCAGCTGAGACTGATTAACAATCCCACAAACAAGAGACAAGAGATCCCTGTGCTCAAATCCATACAGCTAGTGCATGCATTTATCCATCAGGTGCTAAAGGGGTGTAACCACATAACACTAGAAATTCTGAAGGACCCTCTGCACACTGGTATACCCTTTCAAGCAAACTATGCAATAAATAGGGATATCTAGTTCACACATATTGCAATACATGCTTAAGCTGGCCAACTGCGTCAAAGTAATCCCTCTATGGCCAGTCCTACTCTGCCCTGCCTACGCAAGTGCTACTGTGGACACAATGCTAGCATAGGGGAAAAGACACAATGGGGAGAGCTACAAGGTTCAGGTCTGGCTACTGACCCAACAATACAACAAACAAGAGATCCCTGTGCTCAAATCCATACAGCTAGTGCATGCATTTATCCATCAGGTGCTAAAGGGGTGTAACCACATAACACTAGAAATTCTGAAGGACCCTCTGCACACTGGTATACCCTTTCAAGCAAACTATGCAATAAATAGGGATATATCATATCCCTATTTATTGCATAGTTTGCTTGAAAGGGTATACCAGTGTGCAGAGGGTCCTTCAGAATTTCTAATGATTAACAATCCCCTCTGCAAATTAACTGACCAGATTAATATCCGAGGAGTTTAATTGACTTGATGCTATGTTCCGATTTAAAAGGGTTCTGAGCAATATATATATTATATATCTATGTGTACAGTATGTACTAGTTTTCACTTTTTTCATTGGTTTTATTGCAGGTTTTTAATATAAATTATCCCAGGGTTCAAATTTTAAGACCAGACCTTAAGAATTACTCGCCACTGACCCCTATGCCCCCCACTATACCCCCTGTACTCCGAAATAGTACATGTCTCCCTGTACGGTTGCTCTCCTCTCCAGTTCCTGGGTCAGCTGGGATCTCCTCACCGATGCTAGGCTCTGGTCTGATCTCCTCTCCAGAGCCGGTGGGCGGCATTGGTACCCAACACCCCTTCCCAATTATGAAGCTGATCACCGAGTCTTGGCTCAGCACACTCATGCCTCATAATCAGCCTAGGTTCACATTGTCACTGCATGTGATTTGCACAGGAATCGCACAACATTCCTGTGCAAATCACATGCGATTCTGAGAGGTGTGATGTGAGCCCAATTATTTTTATGGCTCAATTTGCAACGCATCCACATGAAAAAGGTGCAGGCATCTTATTTTGTTTGCACTGGAATGGAATTGCATGAGTGTTTATTGCAATACGCTTCAGGCAAACACAGAGAAGCTTTGGTAAAATAAGAAACTCCTTGCTGTTTGTGTTTCCTTCACATGTGTGTCACTTGTGTGTTAGGTGAGCAGAAAGAGAGACACACATGTGAAGGAAACACAAACAGCAAGGAGTTTCTGATTTTACCAAAGCTTCCCATCTACCTGATCATTCTGAGGGATCTGGTGATGTTCCTGTGTGGAATCCAGCCAGGAAAGAGGACTGAGACATCTCTCTGGATCTTTTTGTGTCTTACCTATATGCCATTGAGTGGAGGTGGAGCGGAATAGATACGCTGGGGGAGGAGTTTCCATTTACATTGTGGTCCATGGATGAGGAGCATATTTAGAAGGATCGGGTATAGAGGAGAGCATTAGCCTTTTGGCTCTGTGTGGGTCATTGTGTGGAGGTGAGCAGGCACTGCTTCCATTTGAGGATCTGTGCACTAGAGTGAAGATCACCTTTTTACACAGTTTCACTTGCATGGACTTTTTATATTTTGATTATTCACGGATTGTTTTTTTTATGTATTTGTGATTCACATTTATATGGTAACCTATTGAATAATTATTTAGATTGAATACTCTTTGTTTATACACATGATACATCTTATATCACTGTTAATATATTCACTTCATTTATGTGTATTAATTTCACTATAAGGATATACTTGTGTATATGGGACATTTATCACTGAGCGCTATTATGTTGTCACAAATGGCACAATCAGTATAAATTTATAAAGTATTTTAGCGCTTCACTAATTAACTTTTAATTGACACCCACAGCAGATCGCATGAACACAGCACAACTGGAAATGCACAGGATTCGCCCTGCATCAGTGTGAACCAGGGCTCAGGGTTACAGGTGGTGGAGGTCACTACCCACCTGGGAGGTTCAGTGGGGAGGTGGCAAAGACCCATCTGTCATTAGCAACTGCCACCCGCTCTGTTCTCACAGCTCTGCCGCTCAAATGGTCAGTCCACCCCTGGTGCTGCTATAAGGAGACTCTCTTGGGGGTCCGGCTGACTGCTGATCTAATGGTTGGTAACCAACCATTAGATCAGCAGTCAGCTCCCCCCCCCCCAGTAGAGACCCCATTAGTTCACAGTCCCTTTATTTCAATGCCTCCCACGCTTCCTTAGAAAGCTCCAGAGTTCAGAGATCTCCACCATAATATCAGCGCCCCCTGCCCGTTTTAAAACCTCTATTCAGGTTGCCTTACTGGCAGGACTCTGGACCAATTGCAAGAAAGAAAGTGTGAGAGCTGAGTTGAGGGGGCGGAGCTGGGAGGCCGAGGGCGCTATGATGTACAGCGCTGTAAGTGTTGCATGTTAAGGAGATCATCAAGGAGTCAAAGAGAGAGGCACTGTGTGGAGGAGATGGAGAACTGAATGCAGAAAGCACAGTAGTTGAGGCGGTGGAGCGGCTCTATGGTGTACAGCGTTGTAAGCTTTGAGAGTTAAGGAAGTGGGAAGATGGAGAACTGAATGCAGAGCGCACAGGGTTCAGGAGTCTCCAATGGGTAAGTCCACCCCTGCCTGCTACTAAACAGCAGCAACACGTTGTTTGGGAACTGGACCCCCTACATGTGTGTGGGCTGTTCTGTCTTCGGGACACAGCTCGGACCTGCAGGATGCCCGCAGGACTGCCGATGCCCCCTCAGCCCAACTCCAGTACAAAGCCTGCTCAGTAATAAAGCCCTGTGGGCATACTTGCCCCCATGTTATTTCCACTCACCAAATATAAGCAGGCGAGAGGAAATTTTGCGGCCTGCATTATCCTATAGTTTTTTTTTATATACATCTAAGATCTATACATCTTGCATTTTAGAAGATTTTTAAGATCAGTGAGGATTGGTATCAGCCTGTGTCCTAGGCACTGGCAGCTGTTTAACTATGCAAGAGTAAAATACTACCACCACCCAGAGAGGCAAAGATAGTGGTTGGGTTGTAGCTAGAGAGATCGGTGGGGTTAAGCCAATTCAGCTTCTAAGATCTGGTCCAACCTAGACCTGACATCAGAGACACACCCCTATTGTCTCTTGGGGCACCAATTGCATGTGGGATGGACTTAAACCCAACATCAGAAACACCTTTCATAGCCTTAGAAACTGTAGACAACAATGGGGGGGTGGGGTAAGGGCAGCTGAGTCAGTCAGCGCAGTTCACATACACCCTGTCACCCGATTTGCTGTAGACGCAGGGGCTGGGTTTGGCATGTACCGTTGCTGGGATAAGGCAATGCTAGTCAGTGTTAAATGTTGCCTCTTTACTGTTGGTGGGCAGCATGCACTGTACCATAAATCAGCAGACTATGAATAAGGTAATCTCTTTGTCCATTCATTACACTGTTATTACTTTCTCATTTTTCTTATACTGCAATGCACTAACAGTTAATTCTAGATAATACACAGCCTCTACCTAGATGGAACACACTTTTTAAATGCGTTTTGCCAATTAATTATGTATGTGTATTTTCAATAAATATTTTATGATATCACAATGGGCTAGTGAAATTTTGTTTTTATACTTGTACATAGCAACAAAAACCTGGGTGGAGTACCCACATGCCTACAAACAAATGCCTACCTCCATGAATCATTAAAGTAAGTGCAGTATCTTCTCAATTTGACATACGGCACACACTTAACTGAGAGGAATATGAAGAAATGCATTGGGTACTACATAGCCTGTGCTGCAAAGATTTTGTTTAAGTGGAGTTACAGGCTTGTATGCACACCTATCCTGTAGTAAGGGGGTCACCAAGGGTAAGTAAGGGTGCATTTGGCACATCAACTTAACCATCTGACATACTATTTAGTTTTATATTGTTTTATTTCTATACACACTTCCCAAACTAAGTGTTCAGGAATGAATGCCAGACATTAGGAATGTGGGCCAAGGTCTCCCTTGTAACACCTGTGTTTAGGATTCCTACATTACACAAATCTATCACTGAATAACAACTTAGAAACATGCTATATTGGGTAAGATCATTTTACCTTTTTCTTTTCTCCAACTGAAGGCGGTTGAACCCCATTTACCAGCAATTTGGAAAGTTGTTTGGATACAAAATCCTTTCGTAAATGAATATTTATGAATCCTGTTACAAAAAAAAAAAAAAAAAAATCATGTCAACAAAAAAGTTAAGAAAGATAGGATTCAATCAGCTCTTGAAGCCAAATTGACCTCCTCCCAAGTTGCTTTAAAGTAGAACTCAAGGCAAAGCTTGGTTTTAATTTTGGATAGAGTAATGGAGGGTTAGAACCCCTGTCAGTTTTTTTTTAAACCATATCCCATTGGGGAGCATTACCGTCACTTCCACTTCCATAGCCAAAACAGGAAATGAGAGGAACTCCCTGCAAATTAAGGGAATCCCTAGGGGCCACCCAGGTCACCAGAAGATTTCCCCTCTATTACGATTCTGGGGACAACCTAAAATTTGTAATTTTCTTTTACTTTCACTTTGAATGATAATGGTAAACAGTATAATGGCACAGACAGCAATAAAAACTGACAGATGTTCTAATCCCTCTCCACTCTGTCCAAAAAAAAAAAAAATGTTTGCCTTTAGTTTATATATTAAAAGTGATTAAAATCTAATGCTCTCTCCAATAATTTAGGCTGGATACATACCATATTTTTCAGCGTATAAGACGACTGGGCGTATAAGACGACCCCCTACTTTTCCTGTTAAAATGTAGTGTTGGGCTATACTCGCCGTATAAGACCACCCCTCTTCCAATGCACACCAGTGGGAAGAATCGTGCCCCATCATTGGTGTCAGTGGGAGGAATAGTGTCCCATCAATGGTATTAGTGGGAGGAATAGTGCCCCATCACTGGTATTAGTGGGAGGAATAGTGCCCCATCATTGGTGTCAGTGGGAGGAATAGTGCCCCATCATTGGTATTAGTGGGAGGAATAGTGCCCCATCATTGGTATTAGTGGGAGGAATAGTGCCCCATCATTGGTGTCAGTGGGAGGAATAGTGTCCCAACATTGGTGTCAGTGGGAGGAATAGTGTCCCAACATTGGTGTCAGTGGGAGGAATAGCGTCCCAACATTGGTGTCAGTGGGAGGAATAGCGTCCCAACATTGGTGTCAGTGGGAGGAATAGTGTCCCAACATTGGTGTCAGTGGGAGGAATAGTGTCCCAACATTGGTGTCAGTGGGAGGAATAGTGTCCCAACATTGGTGTCAGTGGGAGGAATAGTTCCCCATCATTGGTGTCAGTGGGAGGAATAGTGTCCCAACATTGGTGTCAGTGGGAGGAATAGTGTCTCAACATTGGTGTCAGTGGGAATAGTGTCCCAACATTGGTGTCAGTGGGAGGAATAGCGCCCCATCATTGGTGTCAGTGGGAGGAATAGTGCCCCAACATTGGTATCATTGGGAGGAATAGTGCCCCATCATTGGTGTCAGTGGGAGGAATAGTGCCCCATCATTGGTGTCAGTGGGAGGAATAGTATCCTATCATTGGTGTCAGTGGGAGGAATAGTATCCCATCATTGGTGTCAGTGGGGGGTGGAATAGTGCCCCATCATTGGTGTCAGTGGGAGGAATAATGCCCCATCATTGGTATCAGTGACACCAATGATGGGGCACTATTCCTCCTACTGACACCAATTACACCTGTTCTAGTATGGTGCTGCTGCAGCCAGCATATGTGGTTGCAGCAGCACCTCTGCACGGGACACTTACCGGCCGCTCCTTCACTCGATTTTCGTGGGGTCGCTCGGCTCCGCCTCCTCGCCGGTGATTGGCCGCCTGTGTGCCTTTCCTGAGCTACAGTTCTGGTGACCAATCACTGGTGAAGAGGTGGAGCCGAACAGCCGCGCGAACATCTAGTGGCCGAACCGAATGAAGGAGCAGCCACGCTTCCTGGACCGGATCGTCACGGGACCGGAGCCAGGTAAGAGACAGCAGCCCCTGCCCACCCCTGTATTCAGGAGGGGGGGGGGGGCGGCGGTGGCACCGTGCCACCCCCCTAAAAAGTGTCAGCATGCCGTATACCGGCGTATAAGACGACCCCTGACTTTTGAGAAGATTTTCAAGGGGTAAAAAGTCGTCTTATACGCCGGAAAATACGGTAACTTATTAATTTGGGCATAAAACAAGGCAAGTAAATTGTAAAAGTACTAAATTAAACATTTGTACAAATCATGTGATCAACTCTCTTCTGCACTGCACAGCCTTGGTTGATTGGCAGGACTAAGCAGCAGCCTGTCACATGACCTTGCTGCTTCTTATTCCCGCCTGTGAAGGAAAAGCAACTATGTCACATGTATACACAACATAAAGTTGATCCTGCATATTGTAAACCTGTGTCTAGTACAATCCTGAGCTCAGACACACAACCCTTTATCATGATTCTGTGTATGAAAAAAAACAAAAACCTACATCAACGCATTTGAGGTGGATGAAGGAATCCTCCCCTGGTATGCTATTGTATTCTGATAGCATGCACTCCTCTGATTTTTACAATAAGCCAATCATTTCTTCAGCCGATTGGCTGCATGCGCTGATCGAAAACATATTTTCTAACATTTCTGTGAAAGAGGAATTGATTACTCGGTTGTCTCCTCTTGAACAGGAATACCCATAGATGGATCAAAATTTGTTTGGCCCCTGCTGAACCGGCCAAATTTGGATCCATCTATGGCTAATGTTACACTAAAAGTGTCTTATCTGAGCTCTGTGGGTGCTATCTCCAGGCTCTGATAAAGTATATCTGAAATTCCACAGTCTGTGACCAGTGCAAACTCTGATTGAGTTTCCAACATCAGTGGACAACTCTCTGGTACTCTGGTGTGGTGGAAGGTGCTATCAGCCGAGTAGTTAGTATCATCCAATAAGGGGCAGTATTAACTACATGACTAACAGCATGCCTGTGGCGTGCTGAGAGACTGAATGGGACAGATCATGCTGTCCAAGGACTTGCTTTTTTTTTTTTTTAAACAGGAGCCACAGTGGCAATGTTGAACAGGCTAGATTAGCTTGAAGATCATTACCGTCAGGGACAGGCAAGTCCAACTAAGAGCAAGATCAACAGGTTTTTTTTTTTTTCCAATACTGAAACATTTTGAAAAAAAACAAGGGTCATATGTAGTTAGGGAAATTTAATAGGGAGGTGTTTATAATATCTTTGTTTTTTTTATTTTAATGACACTTTAGCATGCTTATTTCAATTGACGTGTATGGGGAGAAAAGTATTCATCTTATCATTACAGTAAAATCTCATGTCCTGCATCACTTGAAAGGGTTCCACTGCCTACAGCTTATCAGCAGGTTAACAGAGATGGAGAAACAGGCACACATAAACAAGTCAATATAACCAAAAATAAACAACTAACCCCTATGTAAATGCTGCTGTCTCAGCCAATGAGGAAGGAGAGTTCCAGGAAAGTCGCTGCTCTCATGCACATCGAGAGGGGGGCTCAGGTAAGTATTGGGGGGCTGCTACACACAGAAGGTTTTTTACCTTAGAATTACTATAGAATTCATGAAGTTAAAAAAAAAAACCTTGAGAATTTACAACCACTTTAAAACCTGAATTCCCAGAATCAGTGTAATGAATCTTTCAGGTTGTCTAATTCTAAGCATTCACAAAAAGATCCACACATGTAGAGTACATCTGCTGGTATGGGTCTATCCAGGATTTTTTTTTTTTTCAAATACAGCTGAAATCCAGGAATTTTATGTCTGCTGGATCTTTAAAGGACACAGAATAAGCAATCAGCTTTATGAAAGTGGGATATCAGCAGGCCTACTGATAATGACCACTACTTTACTGGGTTCCCTGGAAAAGGAAAGAAGCGTTAAAGCAGTTTGGAACAGTATGACCTTGTCAGAGTGTTTCCACCTTAAAATAATTATGATTTGGAAAAGTCTTAGCTGTTTAGCAGGCAGTATGCACCAAGAGCTGATCACTCACATGTGGTAGCTGCATGGGTGATTACATGCAAGGGGCTGCAATAAGCTGTGGGATCGGCAGCCTTATATTGCTTTTAATTGGGCTGTCTTCCATAGCTAATTACTGGGGGTCTTACAAGCAATCAGTGTCCGGTTTACCCTTCGTGAACACTCTTGGCCATGTCCGATGCTTGGCTCCGCGTTGCACTCTTTGGTGCCATCCACTTGCCCCATACATTACTACTATGTCCTGTAGTGGTGTAGGGGCCAGCAGGCAGAACCACAGAGTGCAGCGTGGGACCAAAGATCTGATACACTTGGAAGTGTATTGGATGCTAATGGTTCTTTGGCTGCTTTATTCTTGAAGAGCTTGAAAATTTGCATCAGCAACCACTAGAATGCAAGTATCAATCTTTTGCAGGAAGCTTATTTTTTCAATTTTTTTGAGTGGCAGTCAATTTACAATCCCTTCGGGAGGATTAAATATGGAAAGTTAGTCACAATATTTATTCACAATCAATTAAAGCAAACCACAGAAAAATTAAGAATCAGTTTGTTCTCATCAATGGATTTACTAGTAATATAGTAATTATAGTTTCTTTCTATTTGCCTACCTGGACCAGCTATATCAGTCTTCTCAATAAAGTCATTGGTAGGAAGATTTTTAATAATTTTTTCAGCTGTTTCACGCGGGTTCACTTTTTGATTTTTTGCTTTCAAAATCTGAAAAAAATGTTTAAAAAAAGGATGAGTAAAGTTTACTATAAACATGAGTATGTATATACCTATATCTATACTGTATGTATATATATATTTTTTTTTACTCTACATTAGTACATTGGGGAAAACAATCTCTGATCTCTGTGTATACACCCCCTCTCTAAGAGGATGGACACCAGGCATACTCAAGGACACATCCCCACCTAGTGGCTACACTCCTGTAAATACTGAACAACAGGGGGGGGGGGATGTTTCACCCATCTGGACCTTAGTCATTCTGTAAGGCTCTGGTGTAAATGAACAAAGGCCATTGCCTCAATAGAAGATACCATTGTCTCATTTGCATCTGCAAAAGAAAGAGCTATGCCCAGTGCTTTTCAAGTGTAAGAAAGCAATTTGCCACCTTGATGTATGTGATTAGATGCAAACACTCCAGACAATGTGTCTGAACTAGGAAGGATTTCTGGGTAATTTAATTGCTACCCAAAGCTCTGAAGAGAATGCAGTTAAATTTGTTTTGCAGGTCCTGGGCCAATGGGACTTTAACAATCAGACTGTTGAGGTAGGCAGCACCTCCAGTACAGGGACTAGAACCTTGGTCTATAACCTCATAGAAGGGTGAAGCCACAAATTGGAAGTACTGCTCATCCAGTGTGAAAAATAGATAATGCTGATGCAGAGGGAACGAGAAATGTGGACACAGAAATACAGTGGGGAAAATTATTATTTGATCCCCTGCAGATCTTTTAAGTTTGCTCACATACAAAGAAATGATTGGCCTATAATTATTTTTTTTATCATAGGTGTATTTTAAATGATAGAGACAGAATATCAACCAAAAATCCTGAAAAAACACGATACAAATGTTATCAATTGAGTTGCAATTCAGTGAGCAAAATAAATATTTGATCCCCAAGCAAAACATGACTTAGTACTTGGTGGAGGAACCCTTGTTGGCCTGCGATCTGCATATCACAGCGCAATGCTTTACAGGCTCTTGCAACCAAAAGTAATAAATGCATATTTTCTTTACCTGCAAAAAATGTGCATTTATTATTTTTGGTCAAAAGGTGAACTTACCCTAAATTTGGTCCCAAGCAGCAAATAGGGTTAATTAGGTAAATACAAAACCTCTTTTTTACCCCTGAGAAGACAATAGGCTGCCACACTGTCCAAGACTAGCATTTTCAACATTGTAGAACCTGACTGACTTACAGTAGTGTCTCTCCGGCTCCAAAATCAAGAGTTCTACTGCACAGGTTAAAGTCAACAGCACACAAGTCTAGTGTAGAATTTCTCTTTATTATGCAAATATTAAAGCAATGCACTCAAATAAAATCTTTGCACCATGGTTATCATGGCATAAGTGACACTTGCAAAAGCCCTTGGAAACCAGCTGTGACAGGGAAGTAATCCTGGAGCTGGTGCTGGAACGCATACCAACTAAGACCTGGCGCTTAGAAAATACACACACCTCTAGCCCATAGCTTCTCATCTGCCTCTCGAGCTGTAACGTTACTATGCATATTGCAGGACACGTTTTGCATCAAAGGACGATTGTTGCTAGGATGAGTTTTGGGGAAGCATTGGGCCCAACAACAATGGGGCTATACGGCATTTCAATAACCAATAGTGATTCCTGTAGTCAACAAAAGAACCCTCAAAGTGATTCAGTAGCGCAACAAATATGCATGTGAATAAATAAATGAAAAAATAATTTAACATAAGTGAAAAATGAAATGAAAATAAAAATAAAAAAGTCCAACAAAATGTCTTTTCCACCAAGTGAATCTTCTAATTCCAAAAAAAAGAAATCACCACGTGCAAAAAGATGGCGTCCCCCCTTTCGTGTATGCACTCACCAGATAGCCATGCCCCCCATTCTCATGGTTGGCTGGAATTGCTTATAAAGTGAATCCAAATGGGAAGGAAATCAACCAAAATCGATGTTGTTACACTCCTCTCTGTTTATCCTCCAATCTCCATGCCTGTCTTTCCCATGATCAGTTGGCACCACTTCACAGGTTAACAAATTCCTAATAATGAGGAACTTATAGCAACATGGATATCACACGCCTTCTCCTTATTCTTTCTCTCACGGGATAAAGATGCTACTTGCTTGAGAAGTTAGAAATCGTCTGCTCAGCTAAAGCAATTCTCTCAGCTCCTGGAGCAAACACAGATCAAAGTTGCAAAACTGGGTTTGGGCATTAAGATTTGATTTGACCCCGGTCATGAAGGGGTTAATGTCGCTGTCAAGGTCAAAGCTCAGTGTTTTTTCAGGTAGGATTCTTTGGAAAACATTTTAACCTTTCTAATTTAGTTTGTATAGCTGCGTGTCTTGTAATTATGTTGAAAGCTCGGCCAGATGGCTTTCCCACTTGAGCCTGTGCTGTTTAAATCAGAGTTTTTGCCATTCTTATGGAAGATTGGTGTACTGTTTTCATGATCAATCTGCCAATCCCCCATGTTGCTGTGTTTATATATAGTGCTTTGTGTGTTATTGGACAACCTGCCCTATGCAGGCTGTCCAATGCCCATATGAGGCTCATATGACCATATGAGTTTCTGACAAAGTTAATTCATTCTATCGGTTAGGCAGGATCAGGGGGCAATTCAAGAGATCCCCAAACTCTCACTGCATTCAAAGCTGCCTGCCCATTCCTTTAATCTGTGTTGGCCAAGTGTAAAAGCAAAGGAGCCCACTCCATCTCTCTATAAACTGGGTTCCAGACAATGAGCGGCACACCAATGACATCAAAAAAGTTCAACAGGCTTGATGGCAGCACACGCTGCATCCACCACCCTTAGCTCAGCCATACTAATGTATTTCACCCAATCAGGGCTTAATTGTAGCAATCTCTACTATTAAGTCTTTGTTGGTGAAATGCATTAAAGGGGCAGAGCCAAGGTGGAAGGATGCAGTGTGTGCTGTTTTATCCTTAACCACTTGCCCTCCAAAGGATTTACCCCACATCCAGACAAGGCCATTTTTCGCAATATGGCACTGCGTTACTTTGACAATTTTATGGTCATGCAACACTGCACCCAAATTATATTTATGTTCTTTTTTTCCCCACAAATGGAGCTTAATTTTGGTGGTATTTGATCGCCCCTGCGGTTTTTATTTTTTTGCGCTATAAACAAAATAAGACTGACAATTTTGAAAAAAAAAAAACAATATTTATGACTTTTTGCTATTAAACATGTCCAGTAAACAAATTTAAAAAATCAAATTTCCTCATAAATTTAGGCCAAAATGTATTCTGCTACATGTCTGCTGAAAAAAATCCCAACACGTGTAAAAGAATTAGTTTACGTGAAAGTTATAGCATCTACAAATGGCGGTATATGTACTGGGATTTTTATTTATACTAGTAATGGCGGTGACCAGCGACTTATAGCAGGACTGTGGCGAACATTCTGACACTGGGGGGGAACTAACTGCCACTGACATCCCCAATGACACTAATACAGTGATCAGTGCTAATAAAAAGCACTGCCACTGTACTAACGACACTGGACAGGAAGGGGCTAACATCTGGGGGTGATCAAAGGGTTAACTGTGTGCTGTGTGTGTGTTTCACATTATGTGCTGTTTTACTATGAAAGCATGCTGCTTTGTATTGCTCTGCTATGCAGAACAATACAAAGAAGCATGCTGGTGCTGACAGGGGAGAGTTCTCTATTGTTTACATACAGACCGCTCCTTTGTCAGTGATACTCGGCGATCGTCAGGCGCCGGTAGGGAATCTCCAGCTAGGACTCGGTGATCAACAGCTGTAGCCACCAATGGCGGTGCGAGTAGGGCAGCGCGCGAGCCCCTTACCCGGAAGTGCAGAATCACCTATATATACACACACGATACTTTGCGCAGCCCTGTAACAGTAGTTCTACTATAGGGCGGTTAGGAAGCGGTTAAACATGTTGGATTTTTGTGACGTCAATGGTGTGCAGCTCATTGTTAGGATCGGGGCAGATGTATCATCAGCAACTCTGATGTGGATGCAAGGGGCTGGCATGGACAGGTAGAATATACCCAGGTCCCTGAGATGCCACCGTCACTCTAAGGAAGAAGCAGAGCTTTAACCACTTCAAGTCCAGATACTTTCACCCCCTTCCTGTCCAAGCCAATTTACAGCTTTCAGCGCTATCACACTTTGAATGACAATTGCGCGGTCATGCAACACTGTACCCATATGAATTTTTTAGCATTTTTTTTTGAGACAGATAAAACTTTATTTTGGTGGTATTTATTCACCACTGGGATTTTTATTTTTTTGCTATATAAATGAAAAAGTCCAAACATTTAAAAAAAAAAAAAAAAAGAAGTGTTTTTCTTATAAAATTTTGCAAATAATCTTTCTTCATAAATCTTGGCCAAAATTTATTAATTTATCTTTTTAGTAAAAATAACAAAAAAAAAAAAAAAAATGGTTTGGGCCCATTTTGCAGCAATTACTGCCTCAATGCGGCGTGGCATGGAAGCTATCAGCTTGTGGCACTGCTGAGGTGTTATGGAAGACCAGGATGCTTCAATAGCGGCCTTCAGCTCTTCTGCATTGTTCGGTCTCATGTCTCATCTTTCTCTTGGCAATGCCCCATACATTCTCTATGGGGTTCAGGTCAGGCAAGTTTGCTGGCCAATAAAGCACAGTAATCCCGCGGTCATTGAACCAGGTTTCGGTGCTTTTGGCAGCGTGGACAGGTGCCAAGTCCTGCTCCAAAATCTCCTGGTAGACGGCTGCGTTGACCCTGGACTTAATGTAGCACAGTGGACCAACACCAACAGATGACATGGCTCCCCAAATCAACACAGACTGTGGAAACTTCACACTGGACTTCAAGCATCTTGCAGTGTGTGCCTCTCCATTCTTCCTCCATACTCTGGGTCCTTGGTTTCCAAATGAGATGCAAAAGTTGCTGTCATCAGAAAAGAGGACTTTGGATCACTGAGCAACAGACCAGGTCTCTTTTCCTGTAGCCCAGGTAAGACGATTCTGACGTTGTTTGTTGTTCAGGAGTGGCTTGACAAGAGTAGTACGACATTTGAAGCCCATGTCCATGATCCGTCTGTGTGTGGTGGCTCTTGATGCACTGACTCCAGCCTCAGTCCACTCCTTGTGAAAGTCCCCAACACTTTTGAATGGCCTTTTCCTGACAATCCTCTCCAGGCTGCGGTCATCCCTGCTGCTTGTGCACCCTTTTCTTCCACACTTTTCCCTTCCAAATAACTAACTCTATTAATGTGCTTTGATACAGCACTTTGGGAACATCCAACTTCTTTTGCAATTACCTTTTGAGGCTTTCCCTCCTTATGGAGGGTGTGAATGATGGTTTTCTGCACAAATGTCAGGTCAGCAGTCTTTCCCATGATTGTGATTCCTACTGAACCAGACTGAGAGACCATTAAAAGGCTCAGGAACCCTTTGCAGGTGTTATGCCTTAATTAGCTGATTAGAGTGGGACACTTTGAGCCTAGAATATTGCACCTTTTCACAATATTCTAATTTTCTGAGATTGTGGATTTGGGGTTTTCATAAGCTGTAAGCCATAATCATCACAATTATGACAAATCACGGCTTGAACTATCTTGCTTTGCATGTAATGAGTCTATCTCATATATTAGTTTCACCTTTTAAGTTGCATTACTGAAATAAATTAACTTTTAACGATATTCTAATTTTTCGAGTTTCACCTGTAATGTATCATTATACATACTATAAACAAATATATATATATATATATATATATATATATATATATATATATATATATATATATATATATATATATATATAAAATATACGAAATTAAAAATTTCCAAATATGTATTTATTGACTCAATACAGATTTAATTTTTATATTTAGTAGGAATGTAGCAGGAATTTTGTAAAATTTGCTGTGTTTGTGTTCTGCTAATAATGATTTTAGTGCATTTTTGGCAAAAATATTATTTTGATAAACATTTGGCAAATATCATGGGGCCTTAAAAAATCAGTAGCACCTTAATTCTACTGGTCATGTGCTTTCAAAAAATGTATGGCTTGGGGGGTCATTTACAAAAGCTGTAAGGGAAAAATTAAAAAAAACTATTGGAAAAACTGCAAAGATTGTCTGGTCACCTGAGTTTAAAAGTGGAGCTCAGGGTCTGGCAGCAAAAGGGTTAAATAGCAAGGGGTTATAAAATTTAGGGACTTCCCTCTTATTTGTAGTCTGGGCTTCTGTATATTATAGTTTGGCAAGTTCATGCCCCAATCCCCAATGTCTTTTTGTTATGTTATTTTTTTTTTTATTATGATAACTATTTTAGCTTAGGTATACCGCAATTGAACACTTAGGACTTGTTCACGCAGTCCCCGCAACTATGTACCTGTGTTGCAGCTGCTCAGAGCTGTAGCAAAGTATGACAACCGCAGCAAAAATTAAATTAAACATTTTTTAATCTAAAATTTTTAAAAGGGGTTAAAGCATGAACATCTTGGATACAATAGCTAGAGCTATCCAATTTATCTGACAGCAAGCCTATGATATACTGACACAAATAACCCCACTGTGACAAGGCCTTGATGGCATTAAAGCAGAACTCCAGGCAAAAACATCCTTACATGTCCTTGTTGCCGACTTCCTACCTTCACTGAATTTTTCATCCATCCTTTGGTTCACTCAGTAGTTGCTCTGAAATAGTCTATTCATTTTCAAATCAAACCACTGAAGTGTTACTAAACCCACAACAGTAAAATCAGTCTGTATATGCAGTAAAGCATGCTTGTTATACTCACTGTGGAACCTAAGGGATCAATCCTCCGCATTGTGTAAAAGGGTCCTTGATCCTCTCTTCTCTGATCCTCCCCTTCTTCTATTGTCCCCAATATAACGAATGAGGAAAGAACAAACAGAGGGCGCACAGGCCTAGTGCATTACCACAAAAAATGTTTAATAAGAAATAAAGCAGGTGTTGTACTCACAAACAACAATAAAGTCAAGGCACGTCATAAAAGAACAGCTGGATCAACACCGCGCTGAGTAAGAGTCTGCAATAGGAAGTGTAGACATCCAATAGGCTGACGCTTTTCGAGGACTTGCCTCTCTTACTCAGCGCGCGGTGTTGACCCAGCTGTTCTTTTATGACGTGCCTTGACTTTATTGTTGTTTGTGAGTACAACACCTGCTTTATTTCCTATTAAACATTTTTTATGGTAATGCACTAGGCCCGTGTGCCCTCTGTTCTTTCCTCATTCAGTATATTTGGATTTCCCCTGTCTATTGAGGGTAGCAAGGTGTGCATGTTCCAAAATATTCTTAATGCGGTTGTAGCCTGCATCGAGTCCATCCCCAAGCACAGAAGCATTTGTGTTTGCTGGTTCTTTGTGTCCCCAATATAACATCTGATAGAACAGAGGCTTGGAAGCAAGCTGCACATGCTCAGTTTGGTGTGTATTGCTAGTTGTTTTTTTTTTTCTTGGGAGAGTGCAAGTGATCAGCACAGGGCTAATCAGCACTACCCAGACAGAGAGTCAGGGGTTCTGCATCCTCCTAGAGTAGAAAGAAAACTCCTCCTACAAGGTTTAACCAGTGCTCTGCTGGACACGGATAAAAGTCTCAAGACTGCTCTGCTGATGAGAAAAGGTATTTAGCAGTTTTTAGTTACTAAAGTATCTGCATTTTCACATTCTGTGTACTGTGAGAGACCAGATATAGTGAATGCAGGGTCCTGTGTTTAGTAACACTAATTCTCTTTGGTTTCCTGTTTGAAAGACCAGTGGCTGCTATGCCTCCTATTCCCCCCAGCCACTGGTCTTGGCACATTCCTTCTGTAGTTTTCTCCAGGAAGCAGTGATGGAATTCAGCCCCACTTGCAGTGGTGAGCAGTCCAAGACTCTCAGACATTCATGTACAGGCCTAGTGTACCTGCCCTCATTCACTAAAATTCCCTATGATTGATGGGAACTGTAGTTTCCTTTTACTGCTGAGAGTGATATAATTGTAATCCCTGCTGTTATACCTCCTCCTTGGGAGAGCAGATGCTGTTACCTTTTGAATTACAGAGATGAGGTCATAAAACTTCAATTAGACTTTTCTCCGAAATGGGAAGGCTTTTCAAAATGTTAACTGTTTAGTGGTTTTGTAGGGGGGTGTACTAATGATTGTTTTTTTTTTTTTTTTTTTTGCTTATCCCGTAGTTCTTCTTTAAGTGATGCCATAATTCTACCCCTACTTGACTGCCCAATATCTACAGGTTGACAATGTATGTTTATACAACACAGACAAAAAACAGGCTGTATTCTGAAAGAATCACTTTAACCAAAAATGGAATCTGAAAACAAAACAAACAAGAATTAAAACTCAAAAGCCGATTGCTTTACCTGTGTAAGTGCCATTGCGCTATTACACTGATAGTCACCAAATTTTGCCTGCTGGCTTGGAGTGACTGCCAAGGGGGCATCTTTCAATTCAGGAAATGCAGCACTGATAGCTCTTCCAAATAGCTCTTGTAGTTGGGCATTGATGTTGATCATACTTTTCACTGACTTGTTTTTTTCTTCTTTAAGACTCTGTAAAAATTTTGAAAATATTTAGTGGAGGAACTTTACCCTTATCTTAAAAAATACAACAGAAGCACCTTTTGAAAGGTTTAGTAATCTACAAATTTATATTAAATAGTTGCAGGCTTTTTATTTTTTTGCACACCATCATTTTTCTTTTCCTCGCCATTCTTCTCACTGTGCCAATTCTCACTAAGGGCAGATTAATCAGTTTAGTTTTCCATTCCGGAACCCTGGGTCTGGCTCCTGACACATGTGACAGTGCGCATCACCTGATGTAGCCAGAATCTGTGAGGCCCTGGTTATATCACCAGTGCCTCACTCAACCAAAAAGTGGAAAGGATTAGTTCACCTTTACAGAAAAAATGTAAAGGGAAAATCTTCCAAAGGGGTCACTATTACTGGTGACTCGGGGGTGCCCAAGGGAATTCTTTAAATTGCAGGGATTTACTCTCACTTCCCGTTTAGGCTATGGGACAGGAAGTGAAGGTAAATCTCTCCAATCGGACAAAATAGTCAGTTTTGCCTATAGTTCTACTGTACAATTTTGCATAAAGTAAACAAAGTCACTTAACAACTTAAATGGTTAGGAAACTTTACCACAAAGATTTCTTACCCTTTTGCCCCCTCCACCCAAGCAGGTCTAGCACACATTTGGCAACTATGCTACCTCCCCTGTAGGCGCACTGGGAGGTAACATAGTTGTCATGTCCTTGATTTGCAAGCTATCCCACATGATCAAGAAAACTGCACAAAAGTGGCAGTGGGGTGTCCGGAGCTGGAATTCAGGACCAGGGCCAGGACAAAAGGGGATTGGCAGTTGAAGCACATCTGCCAGGTGCAGTGTTTATATGTGAAGGGGGGGACACGCTGAGGACTGCAGCGTCAGTCCTTACAGAAAGAGCAGGGGCCGATAGCTGTTGGAGGATTTTTCTTCTATCAGTCTTCTATCAGCAGAAGAGAGCAGAGCAGAAACCCACTTTCATCTCAGCATGGAGGTGCAGGGGAGTGAAGGCAGACTGCCCATTTTCTGATCTCCCCTGTTACGTGATATATCACATGACCCGAGATGGGACGAAGGAGAAGCTGCCTTCATTCCAGGCAGGTGCCATGCTGAGAAAGAGGTTTCAACTGAGTGAGGGTGGGGTGAAATGGATAAAATAACATTCCAAGAGCCCTTCAGCACCCCCATTCCTTGATCAGGGCCCTTCCAGATCCCCTTCTATTGACCCCTCAGAGCCCATCTCCTCTCTGGCATCCTACTGACATAGATGCCAAAGCAGTCCTCCTAAAACGTACACCATCGATGCAGGGGCATTTTCCTCCCAATAACACCACCACTGCTGCCTGGGCAATTTTCCTTTCTAGTGACACCACCAATGCAGAAGTATTTTTCCCTAGCAGTGACGCCACCTGGAAAGGGGCATTTCTCCCTTCCAGAGACACCACCTGGGCAGGGGCATCTTTTCCTTCCAGTAACACAATCGACGCAGGGGCACTTTTCCTTGGCCACTGTTAGTCCTATATTTCTGCACCAATTTTAAATTCTCCGGTTTGCTGAACCACAACTATTGGTACTATTTGCCACAAACAGATACATTTCAGTACAGTGAATTGTGCACGTGCCTCTATTACCACTACCTCCCCTTCAGTTTGCCATCTCTGCCCTGGGTACTGGATGATCTTGTCCCGGCACTGCCCAGGACTGCAGTGATGTATGCCCTGTAACAGTCACAACATCAGCAAAAGACAGGCTAACAAAGTGGGAATGGGTGATTAAAATGGTTCTAAAGCTTCAAGCTGCATTCAGGTAAAAAAATCTTCTGTGCCACATACTCCCTCCTCACCCCCCTCCCTCCATACTTATCTGAACCTCATTCCGATCCAGCGCTGTGCACAAGAACTGCGGCTCTCCTAACTTTGTTTCTCCTCCCCAGGCAGATCGATAGCAGTAGGAGCCATTGGTTCCTGCTCCTGTCAATTAACTCTAGTGATGAGGGAGCAGGGGGTGGGGCAAAGTCCTGCTGTCTGTGTCAATGGACACAGCAGCGGGACTCAGGAACGAGCCCCGAGTTCCCCCATGGGGGCACTGAACAGAGAGGAGGAGTCAGGAGCACCATAGTGGGTCCCGAGAAGAGGAGCAGAGCAGGTAAGTAAAGATGTGTTTGTTATTTTTTTTTTTAAAAAATCCTTTAAGACCATTTTAAGTAACCACTGTACACAAATATTAATTTTTTCTTAGACACCAACAATTTGAGATATATTGTACTTCAAATGACACCAACAATGGGACTTATTGTACTCCAACAATGTGGTTTATTTTTCTCCCAAGGACACCATGATGAGGGCTTATTTTATTTCCACAGATACAAAAGATAGAACTAATTTTAGTTGTAGAGCAAACATTTTCCAGTAATAACAAAATCCTGAAGTGTCATTTATTTTTAGGTGGATATTTTCTTCCTTGTAGGTACAGGTGGTGGTGCGTTTGCCTCAGGCAGTAATGGTTTACTCCTGTTAGGAAGGTTAAAGTTTGTGAATGTTTTTGCTGTTGTACATGCCAACTTACCACCACCCACTTTTTTTATATATATATATATATATATATATATATATATATATATATATATATGCAGCATTAGTACAAGAAATTATGGAAATACTTCCCAAAGGGGTCCCAGAGAAAAATTTTAAACTTTAAAAAAGTGTCTTAAGTTAGACTTTAATGTTTTCATTAACTTTTGAACCACCACTTCTCCTCTCACGAAAAGCTTCTTGTCATGGGAAACCCCAAGGTAAAGGCAGACTACCCCCCACAATCATTTTAAAAAAATATTAAACTACATGAAAACTAGAATATTAACTATATTGTATATACTCAGCTGTACATCAAATAAACCAGTGCCAAAAAAACTCTCCCTAACAAAATGGAAGGTTAATATCGACATACCTTGCGCAGAATGTTTAAACGGTACTTCAGCTTTGCGTTTTCTTCCCTTAAGGAATCTAAGTTAGGGGAGTTTCCCGCAAATGAAAAGTTTCTGAGCAGTTCTATCTCAGCAGTCAGATACTTGATCTCCGTTTCCTAGTAAATCAGGACACAAAATTAAAGTAGTCAAGAGCTAAAATGGAATGCACCATGTGGAAACAAAAATAATTGACACCTTCACTGCTTCAGCACTTTTATAAATGTTGTAACATATGGAGCAAAACTGGAATTCTATTCTTGATTCTGCAAGTGAAACTGGTAAAAGATAATATTTGTGTTGAGAAAACACATCTACAAAAGGCCTTTATTTAACCACATAACTATCTTGCACCCAAATGTTTATTTGTCAGAAAAAAAGGTGTAGCAGAAACAGCATTTTGTTGCAAAAAATGACCTCCAAACCTATGTGTCATTTGTGGACAAAATGGTACTAAATGTTGCATGGATTTGTCATATGAGTTGAACATTTACAACAGTGGTCTCCAAACTGCGACCCGGGGGCAAAATGTGTCCCTTTTCTTGCTTTTATTATTTAAATTATTGACACCAACAACAGGGCACTATTCCTCCCACTGATATCAATGGTAGGACACTATTCTTCCCACTGATACCAATGATGGAGCACTATTCCTTCCACTGACACCAACGAAAAGGCACACTTTTTCCCACTGATACCAGCGATGGGGCACTATTCCTCCCACTGACACCAACAATGGAACGCTATTCCTTCCACTGACACGAACAATGGAGCACTATTCCTTCCACTGACACCAACGATGGGGCACTATTCCTTCCATTGACACCAATCATTGGGCATTATTTCTCCCCCACTGACACCAATGATGGGGCATTATTTCACCCACTGACACCAATGATGGGGCATTATTTCACCCACTGACAGCAATTGTGGGGCAAGGTTTACTACCATTGACGCTGGGCATTTTCTACGCTCCGAGAGTAGGTTTAGAGTTAGTTAGGTTTTGCCTTTACTTCCAGTTTAAAATGGTTGTAAAGAAAAAAAAAACATGTCTATACTAATACCTGCTCTGTGGAATAGAAATGTACAGAGCGAACCCAATTCTCCTCTTCCCAGGTCCCCCGCCAGAGCTCCTGGCTCCTCCTCTCTTGCTGGGGCCCCCCAATAGGACAATTCCCATGGGGGAACTCGAGCATGCTCACTCCCAAGTCCCGCTTTTGCGTCCATTGACGCTCAGAGTTCTCTCGTCACTGGAATTAATAGCCAATGCCTCCTGCAGCTATCGATCTGCCCAGTGGGGAGAGACAAAGCCAAGAGAGTAGCAGTTCTCATGCACAGCACTGGATCGCGATGGGGCTCGGAAGTATAAGGGGGGAGGGGGCATTCTGTTACAAAGAAGGTTTCTTAGCTTAATGCATAGGATGCATTAAGGATAAAAAACCTTGAGGCTTTAAATCTTTAAATCCACTTTAAATCCAAGAATTCATTTTGTTATAAAAATGATGGTAAAAATTGTGAGACATTGTAGAACACACATAATCTATACATTCATTGTACAAAATACCAAGCAATGAATTTTCATTGATTTTAATTAATTCATTATCATAAATATACTAAATGACTGATAAAAATTTTGAGACATTTGTAAAAAAATTAATCAATTTCCATCAATTTTTAAATAGAGTACTATTGAACCAGGGTGGATAAAAATCAATGATTTTTTTTTAAAAAAAATTTAAAAAAAAATCGGATTTTTGTTTATTTAAATCGGATTTTTTTTAAATAAAATGCTTTTTGGAGGAAAATATATTACCATCCAAAGGTTATTCCATCATGAAATAAAGATTGTTTTTTAATTATGTAGAATAAGGCTGTATATGTTTAATTTTTTTGGTAAATAAATTCCATTAATTCATTCACAATGTCAGGCTCTTCCAGAGGTTTTTGTAAGATTATTGGGCAGTTTCTCTGCCTACAAGATATTATCACAGATGCTTGGTTTACTTTTGCAGTTCTCAAAACTGAATTTGACTCAGCGGAGATCACATGCCTCTTCTTCACAGCAAAAATGTTATAACATGAACAGAGTTAAGAAAAAGACCTTAATCCTAACTTCTACAAACCTATGAATACAGAATCAACCCCTTCAGTGCTAAGTTTCAAGAAGTTCAGTGAATAGAATAGAAACAATATTTTTCTGATTGTTTGGAGTGGAATAGATCTGCACAAGAAGAAAGTGAAACTAAGTGTGAGGAGGAAGGGGCTGACAGTCTAAGTTTCTTAAAATATATATATTTTGTTTAGCCAAATTAGTTAACAAACATGGATGTTTGTTTAACCACTTCCTGTCCGGACACTTTTACCCCCTTCCTGACCAGGGCAATTTTCAGCTTTTAGCGCGATCACACTTTGAATGACAATTGCGCGGTCATGCAACACTGTACCCAAATGAATTTTTTACCATTTTTTTTAGATAGATAAAGCTTTATTTTGGTGGTATTTATTCACCACTGGGATTTGTATTTTTTTTGCTATGTAAATGAAATGTTCAAAAATTTTTTAAAAAGTGTTTTTTTAATAAAGTTTTGCAAATAAATAATATTTCATCATAAATCTTAGCCAAAATTGATTCCGTTATCTTTTTTAGTAAAAAAAAAAAAATCCAAATTAGTTTATAAGCAAAAATTATAATTTTTAAACATTTTTTTTTTACATTTTTATTTTATTTTTTTTATATTATTTTTTTTTTTTATTTTTTTTACATACTGTCACCCTAGCAGTACAGTGTCACCATGGTGACACTGTACTACTTGTGAGGGGTGATAAAGATTTTTTTTTTTTTTTTTTTTTACACTGATTGCTTTTACACCCATATAGGATGTAAAAGCAATCATTTCTCTTTCTCTCTGTGTGCATTCCTGCACTCATTGAGAAATACAGAGTGAGCTGTGATTGGTCACAGCTTGTCACATGGTACAAGGCTTTTGTGAATAGCCTTGTACCATGTGACCTCTGTGATCATTCACAGATTTCACACATAGTAAGCAATGATGTCAGAAGTGACATCTTGCTTACTACTTTGCATGTGATCACTGATTGGCCAATCAGTGATCACATGATTGGGACCTCGTACAGAGGTCCCGTCCAACGATCGGTGTTTCACTGTGTCCGGAGGACACAGCGGGCACCGGATCGCGGTGCTGCGCGCTCCCAGGGAGCACGCACAAGCAGGGTGCGGGGAGGCAGTTTATAGACGGCCACCCGACCCTGCACTGCCACCGTCCGGCCGTTTATATACAACGGCCGGTCGGGAAGTGGTTAAGCAAATAACATATGCTGTAATGTTATTGTTTCAGTTGAATAAATCTATTTAAATTGTTATTAAGGTAATGATTATTTTTCTCCTTCCTAAGTACAACAGAAAAGTTGACCAAATATGAATGATTAACCTATTAAACTGGGGATAAAAAATCTAATATGAAAAGTTATTCTAAAAAATCTTCATCTACTTGCATATTAAAGTTATACCAGCAAGAATTAGTCTATGTAGAAAACTATGATTTAAATCAAGCCTTACTGACTAGTTATTTAAATCTTGATTTAAATCAAATCCACCCTGTATTGAACCCAACAATTATTTATCATATTGCAGCTTACCAATTTTTAATTGAGGTGGCTGAATTAGTTTTCTTTTTTAGGCTTTTCCATTATCTTCACCTGGTGATCTGGCCAGTAAAACTGTTATTTTTCCAAATCTACACCTTCTTCATTTGGATCAGTGCACCCGCTTTCTGTCCGCATGTCAAATTTTGACATGCAGCTGTGTCTCAATCCACCTCTACAGGCTGTTCGCACGCATCCTGAGGCAGATGCAAGCGCAATAACAAAGGAAGCCCGCACGCAGAACAAGTGTCAGCTCTTGTCCTAATGAAGCCTGGTTTAAAAAAAAAAAAAAAAAAAAAAAAAAAAAAAAAAAAAGGGGTAGCTGGAGTTCATCTTTAAATTGATAGTCAAGTACGTCCAAATGTGCTAGTGCAAATATTACTGTAGCCACATATTGACAATGTGGTTTCTGTTGCTCCTCCATCCACAATGGTGACATCCCAAAACAGGAAGTGTGTTATTGGCCATATCACCAGGTAACAATAAAAGTGGGGAAAAAAAAAAAGCTTAAAAAGTAAAAATAATGCAGCCATCGCATTTAACAATGACTAAGCTACAAAGTATTACATTTTTGTTTTTGAGTTTATTACCACTTTAATTTGTGTAAAGACTGCATGTAAAAGAGGCGTTCCGTGCAATGTCGGCATCAGTTCCTGTCCACTAGGCTTGACAAAGAGAGCCTTCTCTGAACGTGTTGCCCTGAAGACCACACCCAGATATTACAGTTAGGCTGACAGATCCCTGAACCAACACAAGCGATGTTGGTGAAGTGATTTCCCCTGCTGTTCTATTAAATTCTGAAGGAGAGAACCCTCCCAGGGTTTCCTCATAATGCAGAACTAAACTACCAAAAGGGAGTTAAAGTGGAACTTCACTCTCAGTCAGTATTGACTATTCTTAATACTTATGTAGAGAGCATTAATAAATAGAAATGAAGTTATATCACATTTACTTGTTTTCATTTTTTAATATTTCTTTAGTTACTTCCTGGTTTCAAGGCCTAGACCAGGGGTAGGCAACCTGTGGCTCTCTAGCTGTTGTGGAACTACATTTCCCATGAGGCATTGCAAAGATTACAAAACTGACAGTTACAGCTATGAAGAGGCATGATGGAACTTGCAGTCCTGCGGCTCTCAGGTTGCCTACCCCTGGCCTACAAGCAATGTAATACATCCCAGGAGTCTTTAGAAGAGGAGGAGGGGTTTTCTCAGCTAAGCACACCCTCCTGCCACTGTGCCTGAGCTAAGGGCAGATGGATTCCAGGAAGTAAATGCTACATGAATCATCTGCCCTAACTCAAGATGGCCACCGCCAGAAATGCTGGGTGGTGGAAGTGGTGGGGAGGGTTGTTCAAAGTTAATTCTCAACAAAATAAAGCATGGAGAAATGGATAGATGGGGAGTTTGCTTTGAATGTTAAAAAGTAAATAGTGTTTTTGGTGCTTAGATTCAGTGTAGTTCTGCTTTAAGCTACTCATAGATGGATTAGTTTTTTGGGTCTGTCCCATAAACGATGGGTTTTCCCATCAACACAAGCAAGGTGGATTAGATCAACTCCTCTCAATAGGGAACAGCCATAGGTGGATCAAAATTTGCCTTATCCCTGCTTAACTCGTCAAATTTTGATCCATCTATGGCCAACTTTAGTTCCACTTTAACACACCCCCGCCACCATTCTGACCTAGGCAAGAATGACATGTAACTGGTCCTACAGCCTCCTGGGATACTTACGTCACATATCCCATGAGGCTAGAGGATCAGCGCACTGAAGCTGCAGGATCAGTGCTGGTTGGTCCAGAGCCTCAGCAGAGCTGGATGCCTTCACCTGGAAGAGGCAGCCAATTGAAGAGGACCAAGGTGGTGGCACGGAACCCGCTCTCCGCTCTGTGGCACTCATACAGCAAACTGCAGCAGAACAACTCTGGATTAACTATGCCAGTAAGTATATAATTTGATGACCACTAGTTGGGGAAAAAAAAAAAATGGAGGCGGGTAGGGGGAGATTAGTAGTTCTTTCATTTCTGTTTTGGCAATGTGATGGGAAATCTACACAATGGGACACAAATGGCAAAAAATACAAAACAAAAAACCATGCCAATGATGCAAGCCGAGCTGCGCATGTGCAGCTCAGTTTACATGCTGGAAAGTACCATGAACTGGCAGATAGGCTTATTGCACGTGTCTTCTGTCTGCCTGCTGCTCGCAAGTGTTATCAAAATGCCTTCAGTACCACTTTAAGGTGCAGGAAAGTCGCCTCAAAGTAGTGCTGCAACTTTAAAAGAGAAATGTATGATTCTTTTTTTTTTTTTGCCCAACCATATTTACCTCGGTGGATGCATCATTGGACTGATGCTGCATATTTCTCCCTCCAGCTCTAAGGGTGAGAGTTCTCACAGTCACTCTGAACAGAGAACGGTGACTGTCAGTCACCACTCTCTGCTCTGCCCCATGCTCACTGGAACTCTTGGCTGTGGAGGGGGAGGGAGCAGCTGGCTCAGGCTCTCAGCAGATCAGTGAGAGGCTGAGACAGGTGCCGCTCCAGACTCTGGGGTGGATCCAAACTTTGAAGTCGGGATCTCTCTCTAGCCTGGACCAGCTGAGTGACGTCAGCCAACAGTGGGCTTCAGCCAGCTCTCAGCTGAAAAGGGGTCACAAGAGTGCAGAACGGACTGCACTCCTGTGATCCACTGGAGAAGTACAGCCAAAAGATTTTAACTGTATTTCTCCTTTAAACCATAAATATCTAAATGGGTGCCACTGAAATCAATGGGCTGCAACTTGTCATGCGACTGTGTGCCCAAAGTCGCATGACAAGTTGCACAAGTGTGAACGAAGCCTTAATGAATGGGCTACATTAATACAATGTGTGCATAAAAATATGAGATATTCACATCTCTGCACCTTTTTGAAGTGTGATTTTTATCCCGTTTGCACCAACAGTACACGTATATGCAGCCTCTCGCCAGATGGGCCTTGACGCCAAAGAGGTCACATATATGCGTAACAAAACTGTGCCGAGAGCGCTACTTGCAATCAGGAGCTTCCAGATCATGTAACTGCCAACAACATGATCATAAACCCCTTAAAGGGCCAGGAGGCACCTATGTTACAGAGTTATATATAACCTAACCAATTTTTCTATTACAAAGCAATGTGAGGAATGTGGAATAGTTTGAAAGTACGTCGTAACGCATTAAAGTGCGCACTGTCATGCCCTATTTCAGGGGTGGCGAAAAAGTTACACAAAGAGCCAAAATTTTAAACTGTGAAAGTCAGAGAGCCACACCACACAGTGACCTGCCAAAACAGACAAACACTCACACAAAAACACATAATTAAAACCATATTATTCACCATAACACTTTCTTCCCCTTACAAAACAACAATGTGTTCATTTCAAGGTAAGTGTCCACCCTCAAACACACACATCAAATGCAACTTAGCCACAGTTAACACATCAACTACCCTGGAGGTTTTTGTGTGATCTTATCTGTTCCTCGATCCAGCCGCGCGCTGTCTTCCCGGCTTTCTGTAATGGCGCTCGGCATGACAGCCGGGTGCCCAGTGCGCATGAGCGAGAAGCACTTATGCTTTGTGATTGGTCCGGCGGCTTCTGGGATCTGTCACGTGTCCCAGGTACCGCCTTACCATTCACAAAAAGCACTGCTTCTTACGCATGCGCACTTGGCACCCAGCTGTCATGCCCAGTGCCCACACTACAGAAGCCGGAAGACAGCACGCCGCTGGATAGAGGAACAGGTAAGATCAAAGAACAAAGAAGAGCGGGTAACTGTCAAATTCAGGTACCCGCTCCCCACCTCCCCAAAGAAAGATGAAACTTGGCAAAGAGCCACAGTATACAAAATATGATAAGAGGCAAAGAGCTGCATTCATTTTGGCCGGGGCCGCACACGGCTCGAGAGCCGCATGTTCGCCACCCCTGCCCTATTCACACAGGAACTGAAGTGTGTACATCGTGAACATGCTACGTTTCATGTGTCCCCTGGGTGCTTGTGAGCAGGAAGACCATTCAAGTCTATAGGGACAGCGGTGTTGCAAGGACATAAGCCAAGCATGTGGGTGCGTGACCCCCAAAAGCACACTGGGCAGGCTGAACACAGGACCCGCAGGATCAAGCCGCACAAACACAGGGACCATGAACTATGTTCAGACCTCAGTGCCGAAGGAGGCCGAAGTTGCAAATCAAAAAGCAGAAGTATGAAGGAAGCATGGGACTGAATGGAAGAAGGAAGCATGGCTCCACATCGAGCAAAACCTCCCGCTGGAAAGGTATAGAGAACTGTTCACATGCTACAAAACACACTTGTCACTGACAGGACATACAAGTCATGGTAGGGCTCAGCGATTGACTACCATTGTATCCACCTATCAGCAGCTCTCCAGCATCACTAGTGCCGGGAAGGAGCACACGTGCCAAGACACAGACCCAGCACCCCCCGCCTCCATTATAGCAGCGCACACACACTTCTCACGTGACCGTACGGCTGCCTGACCTGCTCTCCCAGCTTTCTCTCATAGTAACACACCGGCCCCTCCATCCTCCAGTCACGTTGACACAATCAGCAGGAAACAACGTCATCTACAGCAGACAGAGGATGAAAATCCAGCGTGTCACATGAGAGAAGGCAGGCGGCCTCACGTCACTATCCTGCGTGCTCGCTCCCGTGCGTAACTCCGCAAACACCTATCTAATCAGCTCGCAGGGCTCAGATTTTGCGCGTTTTCGATCCCCTCTTGCTGATTGAGGCCACGTGACCTATTCTAGTCGGCAACATTTAAAGCAATCCTGGCTTTAACCGCTTGCCCTTTAGAGGATTTATCCCCCCTTCCAGACCAGGCAATTGTTTGCGATACGGCGCTGCGTTACTTTAGCTGACAATTGCGCAGTGATGTAACGCTGTACATGAATTAAATGTATGTCCTTTTTTTCCCACAAATAGAGCTTTATTTCGGTGATATTTGATCACCTGTGCGTTTTTTTTTTTTTTTGCGTCATAAACAAAAAAAGAAGACTGAAAATTATGAAAAAAAAATATTTTTGACTTTTTGCTATAAAACATGTCCAGTAAAAAAAATTTAAAAATCAAATTTCGTTATAAAGTTAGGGCAAAATGTATTCTGCGACATGGCTTTGCTAAAAATAAAAAAAAACATCCCAATACGTCTAAATAAATTGGTTTACATGAAAGTTATAGTGGCAGTATAGATACTGGAATTTTTATTAAAAATATTTTTATACTAGTAGTGGCGGCAATCAGTGACTTATAGCCGGACTGCGGCGGGCATTTTGACACTGGGTGGGAACTAACTGCTACTGACATCCTAATGATACTATTACAGTGATCAGTGCTAATAAAAAGCACAGACACTGTACTAATGACACTGGGGAGGAAAGGGTTAACTTTTGGGTGATCAAAGGGTTAACTGTGTGCTGTGTGTGTTTTACTACAGAAACATGCTGCTTTGTATTTCTGCTTTGTGTAATCTCCAAGCAGGACCCAGTGATTGACATCCCTAGCTGCCATTGGCACGCATATGTGCCCTTTGCCTGCAACTGCAAATCACGTATGTGTATATATATATATATATATATATATGTGTGTGTGTGATTTTGTGCAGCCCTGCCCCCCTGTAGCAATACTTCTACTATAGGGCAGCGGGCAGGTCAAAGTGTACCTAAACCGAAAAACCGAAGTGTAATCAATATATTCCAGCTCACAAGTGGATGTGGCTGTCTAAAGCATTCCCTTTGAATGATCACTGTTGTTTTGATACATTACGTATGTTGTTTTGCAACAATACATTCAGTCTATTTCAGTATTGCACCTTCAGCCCTATGTCTTGTCATTTTCCTCCTTTCCAGTGGATACATTGTTACACTTTAGATCAGTGGTTCTTAACCTGGGTTTCGATCGACCCCAGGGGTTCGGTGAGTCAGTCTCGCGGGTTCGGCGGAGGTGAAGACCCACACCCGACTCATATGATTCGTGCAGTAAATATTCATCTTTTTGTTTTTGTGTGAAAATCATGTTTTAATGGTTTTGTTCTTTGTTCTTAATGGTTTTGTTCATTTTGTGCACCTATGTATAAATATATACCTATGTTTTGAATTTGAAAAATCATATTTTATTTTTCCAATTAAGAAAGGTTCGGTGAATGCGCATATGAAACTGGTGGGGGTCAGTGCCTCCAACAAGGTTAAGAACCACTGCTTTAGATGCTCAGGTTTGTGCAGAGGTTTATGAGGCTTAAGACATAGAATTGCTGATGGTTAGACATCACTCTCAAGTCATTTTTAGTCAAGACTACTTGATTTTAAATTGACAATGTTGTCAGGTTTTTAATGGTGATGGGTGGAGGCATATATACACTGCTCAAAAAAAAAATGTCATTGCAGCAATTCAAAATGGTACTCAGTAGTTTGTGTATGGCCCCCACATGTTTGTATTCATGCCTAACAATGTCGGGGCATGCTCCTAATGAGACAACGGATGATGTCAAGGGGTACTTCCTCCCAGATCTGGTCCAGGGCATCACTGAGCTCCAGGACAGTCTGAGGTGCAACCTGGCAGCGTCAGCTGGATGGAAACATGATATCCCGGAGGTGTTCTATTGGATTTAGGTTAGGCAAGCATGGGGGCCATTCAATGGTATCAATTCCCTGATCCTCCAGGAACTGCATACTATCGCCACATGAGGCTGGGCATTGTCCTGCACCAGGAGGAACCCAGGACCCACTGTACCAGCGTAGGGTCTGACAATGGGTCCAAGGATTTCATCCCGATACCTAATGGCAGTCTGGGTTCCATTGTCTAGCCTGTAGAGGCCAGTGTATCCCCCCCATTGATATGCTTCCCAAGACCATCACTGACCCTCCACCAAATCGGTCCTGCTGAATGATGTTACAGGCAGCATAACATTCTCCATGGCTTTTCCAGACCCTTTCACGTCTGGCACGTGCTCAGGGTGAACCTGATCTCATTGTTAAAAACACAGAATGCCAGTGGAGGACCTGCCAATTCTGGTGTTCCATCCTGTTCCTCTTTATACGAAGGAGCAGATACTTGATCTGCTGATGGGTTATCCACTTGCCTACTGGGCACTTATACCCCCTTCCTGCCCAGGCCAATTTTCAGCTTTCAGCACTGTTGCACTTTGAATGACAATTGCGTGGTCATGCAAACACTGTACCCATATGAACTTTGTATAATTTTTTTCACACAAATAGAGATACTGCCTTGCTGACCACCCTACGCTTCTAATGCTAGACATACATGAACAAAAAGAAGAACCTAACAGATTTTTTATTTACATTGATAGATGTGGATGAAGAAATCTCTACCAGAAAAAAAAGTGAATTATACACACCAAGGACCTGGCTTTTTTTTTCTCCCTGAATGAAAAAGGCTCAGGAAAAGAACTGTCCAGATCCCGTGTCTGTGTTTACAAGCAAGACACAGGGCTGTGCTGTGTTTGGCTACAGCCGATTAGCATGTTTACAGCTGAAATCATTAGCCGTAACCTGCTGGCAAACTTGTGCTTTAGCCAATTACAGCACAGGTTAGCAGGGGGCATGTGCATGCACAGGTGGTGACATATGGGTAAATGTAGTGTGCGCAGTAAATGTACTGTGAGTGGGTGGCAAGAGGGTAAACTGCTCTAAATCCCAGGTTTTGATGTTGTTACTAATCTGAATCTATTAATCCTACAACTAATATTCAGTTTAATTTATCATGACAACTTTTCAATGTGGCATGCAATCTGCACTGCAGGCCAGTGTCTCTCTAAAGTGTCCCTTACCTTCAAGTTCTAAAATTGGGAGATATGCAACTAGCTGTCATGTATGGTTGATATTTGTTCCTGTTGGCCAGGGACTGGGGATGAGCTTGGGTGTATTCGGATCCTAGTCCAAACCCATGTAAGTGAGCCCGCCAGCTGTCACATGTACTGGTCCAATCATCTGTGGCCAGGGCATTCCACTCCCCACAGCTGCACTTATACAAGGGGTGCGTAGAAGAAGTATGTATACACAGGGCCAGAGATAGGGGGTACCCCTGGCCCTCCTGTAGGGGGCCCAGCCCCCTCAGCTTCTGTTTACATTTGATTTCATCTCTGTTTCTCTCCTCTCCCCCAGACTACTGATCCCTTTCTGTTAACTGCTACAAAACTCTTTCCTTATACAACTTGAGCCCCCCCCCCCCCCCCCCCGTCATTGCCTGTTTCCTCTGCAAATCTATGCTCAACTCTTATTGAATTATTTATTTACTGCTCTAGTTAATGTGTCTCATTTCCTGTCACCTACAGCTCAGATCTAGCATTATTATATGCCTAAGCTCCCACCTCAACGACAACAACCTCCTCAATCCCCTGCAGTCTGGCTTCCGTCCCCTACACTCCACCGAAGTAGGGGACAGATTCTCCAACGACCTAACCGCCAAAGCTAATAGCCACTATTCAGTGCTCCTACTCCTCGACCTCTCCGTGGCTCTTGACACAGTCGAACACCCCCTCCTCCTCAAAAAACTACACTCCCTTGGCCTCAGAGATTCCGCTTTCTCCTGGCTCTTGTCCTACCTATCACAACGCTCTTTCAGCGTTACCTATAACGCTACCACCTCCCCCTCATTTCCCCTCTCTGTTGGGGTCCCTCAAGGCTCCATCCTCGAGCCCCTTCTCTTCTCCATCTACACCTCCTCCCTTGGCCAACTCATACACTCTCACGGCTTCAACTACCACCTCTATGCCGATGACACGCAAATCTATCTCTCGACCCCTCACCTCACCCTCTCAGTCTCCGCCCGAATCACAAACCTACTAAACGACATATCTGACTGGATGTCACGCCACTTCCTTAAACTGAACCTCTCTAAAACCGAGCTCCTAGTCTTCCCCCCAGCCCGCACACCACCCCCCATTGACTTCTCCATCACGTCCAACAATCCCACCATCAGGCCCGCCCCGCAAGCCAGGGTACTAGGTGTCATTCTAGACTCCAATCTATCCTTCCTGCCCCAAGTCCAATCACTAACAAACTCATGCAGACTCCACCTCCGCAACATTGCCAAAATATGTCCGTTCCTAACCCCAGAAACCACTAAGCAGCTCATCCACTACCTCATCATATCACTACTCGACTACTGCCCCTCCCTCCTCACTGGCCTGCCTCGTCACAGACTATCCCCGCTTCAATCAATCCTGAATACGGCAGCCAGACTCATCCACCTTACCAACCGCTCCGTTTCCGCCACCCCCCCTGCCAATCCCTCCACTGGCTTCCAATTGCCGAATGGATCAAATTCAACATCCTAACACTGATGTACAAAGCTGTCCATAATATCGCCCCAAACTACATCACCGACCTAATATCCAAATACCACCCAAAACGCACCCTCCACTCCTCACAAGACCTCCTTCTCTCTAGTTCCGTAGTCTCCTCCTTCCATGTCCGCCTCCAGACTTCTCCAGGGCGTCACCCATACTCTGGAACTCCCTACCCCAATCCATCAGACTATTACCTACTCTCCTCTCTCTTTTAGGC